ACTTAGGGATACCCTCTACTCTATAAAGATTTATTGATGAACAAACCCATAAAAGAATGCACTCAAAATAAGCAGAAAATAATCATCGATAGGAAAAGTAAATCTCTAAATATTGCTGCTATAAATAGCTGAGTGAAAAGTTCTAGAAGAGTGTAATCATCAATGAAATATTCACAAATAAGCCATCAAATAAAAGGTTGTGTGAACAGAGGCTTTTAGAGCTGATGACGAGTAGAGCTTACATCGAGTAGAGCTGCTAGCGAGTAGACGCTGCTACCAGGTAGTGATGATTGTAACAGCTGATATTTCTTGCTACCAAATTGATTTCCAAATGAGATAAGTCTCCGAAATATTAACCATCATACGGACAAGAAATACTCTTCGAAATCCCTAAAATACAGGGTATCAATACGAGAGAGGAACGCACCATCATTGCGGCAACAAGAAGAACCACAATTTAGAAGACACCACCCACATCCCCAATGTATCTCCATGTATAACCACCGCCCCACCATTCATATCCGCTGCCATATGCACCCTCTCCCCCCCTCCCCCTCGAATTCTTTCTCCTCTCACTGTTTACCATTGATCTATCGTATATAGTATCGTATCGTTTGATAGTTACGATACTTTTGGTCTTTGATTTGTGTGAATCTTCCTGTCAGCCCGTCCTCATGCAACCTCTCTCTCTCTCTGCCAGCTAATTGCCTGAGCATGAAGTCGCTTCAGCTTCATGCCCCCAAAACGAAAATTAATTTTCCCAACTAAAAAAAAAAATAAAAAAAAACCAACGAGTTATATGGGAAAGCAAAATTTGACTAAATTGAGTTTGAAGCTGCTTCCTGGCAGCTCTTTGGCAATGGCAATGGCAACGGCCCTTTAGCTCCACCCCCCTTTGAGCCAACCCATGCACAATCCCGTCGTCCGGCGTTTGGTCTTTGGGCTTGTTTGATGATGACATAGTATTTGCCCAAGTTAATGGGAAAATGAGAAATGAGTTAGCCCCAACGTTGCATACAGTGCATAACGAAAGTATAAGAACAGATCTAACACAGAGTGTTAACTCGTTAATTATCTGTGGAAATGCAGCAACGGATTTGCTTTCATTCGAATGAATACCAAAAGGAAAAGCCTAACCTGTCTACTGTCTACGCGGTACTCATATTAATTGCCATCTCTTCTCGCTAAAAGCTCCACTCGCTACAAACTGCTCTCGCTAAGCTCAAATAGTTTTACAAGAAATGCCTATGCCATTAGCTAAACTCTCTTGCAGCTATGGGCACGCACTGTATGGTAGTATAACCCTTTCCTTAGCCTCATCCTCTTCATCCTTCTTGGCCCATGGACGTCGTCATCGTCGTCGTTGTCGTTGTCGCTGTTGGCAAATCGCCTCCTCGTCCGCTGGTCTCCCCCTTGTAAATGAACGTGTTCTAATGGAGTTTTTAAATAAGTAATCATTTGTTGTTGTTTCTGGCTGCTTGTGGCAGTGGCAGGAGTTTCATCAGCGGCCTGGGCCCCGCTCAAAGGCAAAAGGCAATCGCTTAACGGCGAATCGGCTGGCCCACGGCTGTCCCCCTCCTAGAAAGTCAAAACAAACAGCGACTCAAGCGACCCCTGAAACTGTCTCTCAATAGCCAAAGAATGCCACAAGTTTCGCGGAATAATAATTGAGAGGCAAAGTAGGAGCAGCCCCATCTATAACTACATAAATCGGCTATGAAACGGGTATACGGATACCCACTAAATGTTATTATATTCAGCTTATTTGTTGCCTTCTTCTGTGGGATCTGCAGTATTTGATGCCTGCATATATGTAATCCCCATTGATAGACTCAGCGTTTGCAGGGTATTCTATTTTATGCCCAAAATAAAGCTGACCACCCTGAACCGAACCGGACCATAATTGATTGTTAACTATCGTATCGTGTGTGCGGCCAAAAAAAAAAGAAATAAAAAAGAAAAAAAAGGAATCGTTACGCCCGGCAAATGAAGGTGTTTCCCCTCGCACAATTATGGTGTTCAGAAAGTGTTGCATGCGGCGAGCGGCGGCTGCAACGGGGGCAGGGTAGATGGGGGAGCGGCGGAGTCAGCGGAATAAAGGCCATAAGTAAACCAATTAGTCGCCTTGCAATTGTAAGCCATGTCTGTCGCCGTCGCCGTCGCTGTCGCTGTACCTCCTCCACCACCGCCACCAACGCTGCAGTGCAACTGTCGCCATTGCTGTCATTGCCAGTCCAACTCTAACCCCAAAACCTGAGCCTCAGCTCCCCAGTGCCTGCAGCCTGCCCCTTGCCCCTGCCACTGGCACAACTCTAGCTGGCTGACTGGCTGGCTGGCTGGCTGCAACTTCGAACTTGCAACAAGCGAATGCGAGACTGTGCGGCTTTTGTATTTTGTAGTGTTATAAGCGCATTTGACTTTTTGCACAACGGAAAGTTCCCGGAGACTTTTTGTGGGGCGGGGGGGTGTATGGATGGACACTGCAACACGACTTGGCAAATGCTCTACATTGGCAAAGAGCAGAGCCTGCAGAGGGTATCTTTAGTGCTAAACGGCGAAAGTAATGCCCGAAATTTCCGACTTGCATATTTTTAGTTTGAATTTTATTTAATGTAGAGTGCCACGATAAACCTACGCTCCCCTTCTCTTTCTTTAGTTTCTTTTTGTTTCGTTTTTTTTTTTTGCTAAAAGTTTTTCCATTGGGAAATGCATCTGACAGGGTATCCCCCAATGGTGTTCCAGTACTCCATTGAGGCTGTGTCTTTCGATTCTTTTCGTTGCTCGAATTGCCTATTGCCCTGCCAAGCCCCCCACTGCCACCGCTGGAGCCAACATTCGAAATTCCCGCTCAATGAAGCGCCTGCAACGCGCCTCTAAGTAATGGCAATCCGCTTTGGCTTTCAATTTGCTCTACCTACCTACCTCCCTATCTCCCTCCCTCCCACTTCGAAAGCTCTCTCTCTCTCTCTCTCACTCTGTAGCGCTCTCTCTCTGTATCCCCATGTAGTAGCTGGGCTCTCCCTTCCTTTACCCCCCTTATTTTGCATATCTTGTACACATGCCCTTTGGCTTTTTTCATACCAAAAGCCCCAGATAAAGCAAGCAGAACGTGGGGAGGAAGGGGGCACAAGACGAAGAGGAAGGGTCTGGCGCAAGGGGCAGGGGAAATGGAAGAACTAGCAAGGAAACACAGCAACAAAAGACTCTGTAAACGCTACTAATGTTGCACTGTCGGCGCGGAGTGTGGCACGGCCAGAGAAGAGTGCTGCAGCGGCAGGAAGAGCCGTACATATTATTGCATTTTGTAAGCTAAGTGATTTCAACATCGTTATTTTCTGCCGCTTTTTATTCCATCTTACGGCTAAGCTTCTCTTACTCTGCCTGCTGGCCGTTCCATTATATTCCGTTCCACCCACACCCACACCCACTCGTAATTATCTCCGTTCGCATAAAACTCTTGACTCTCTTTCACTCTGTATGAATGCAATAATCGAATCGTTGATTGAAAGGGTGTATGGTAGCATCACGGGGGAAAAAAAACCAACCGAGGGGCATTGCCGCATGACGCGCACCTCACGTGCAACCAGAATGGGCAGCGTATAGTAGGTAATATTACATCCTCCGAGTCCCATGTGATGCCGTTGGTTTCCTATTTGTGCAAATCTTCAAAAATATTTAAAGTTAAAAAGGGGAAAAAGCTGCCTCAGTTTGTCTCCTTGAACTATTAATGCTAGAGTCAACCGATTTTGAGTGCATAATTATATATTGATTGCTAAATTTTGTTTATAATGTCACATAAATAATAAAAAAAAATTGAGAGCAGAGAGAATATCCCTTGGTCTATGGAAAGTAAGGACAGAGCACAGAGCTCCTTCTTCTGCTTTCTAGCTTGAAAAATATGAGAGAGTATAAGAGAGAGAGAGAGAGGGAGAGAGAGCACAGATGAAGAGCCAGCAGAAATTACAATGTTGATAAAAGTTAAATGGGAAATGGCAGTGCAAAGGCAGGGTGGTGGGGGGGTAGGGGTTAGATGTCCATGGCTCTTAAGTGGCCTTTAAGTGTTTCGCGGTGCGCTCCTCCTCCACTCCCTTCGCTACTATCTGCCCCATCTCGCCCATTCGCAGACTCCACAAATCAATTGGCATGCTCCATGCGCTCTGCTTTGGTCGAAGCTTTGAATACCCTCCAAATATTGCTAGAAAAACGAACTCAATATTTACATTAATTTCGATTTTCCTTATTTTCTTTACAGCTTAAGAAACAAACAACAACAAATATGTAGGTGAAAAATAGTTTAAAATTTGCAATAAAAAAAAACCAACAAAAAGTGTACAAGCCGATGCTGTTAATACCCTTGCAGATGGATATAGAAACAATTTTATATTGCATGATAGTTTTCCGATTTTTAATTCTTTTTATTTCATATAAAAACATTTATTTAGAGTTACCAGAGTTGATGGAAATCCCCATTTTCTTTCTGCGTTATTTTATTAATGATTCGAAAATTTGGGATACATTTGCCTAGCCTAAAAGCTAAAATAATAATTCAAATATTTTATTATAAATCAATACCTTTTTTTTGTCGTTTTAATCCCAAGCCATTATTCTGTTCAAAATTAAATCCTCAATAAATCAGCCATTTTAATGGCACTTTATTAGCACTTTTGCGTTTGGCTAAAATGAATCGATATATAATATATGTATTTCCAGCATGATTCAACATGTTTGATCCTTAAGTTCCCCACGCCAAACTCAGTGCAGTTCTCTGATAGAAATAGTCAAAGCCTCATGACTTTACATGTTTATATTGGGACTGAAAGATCAGTAATAAAAAAAATGTTGTTTATTTATGGGGCTGTTAAATCTAAAATCGTAATACCATCTGCAAGGGTAATAATAAGTATATCCTATACATGTGCTATTTAATTTGATGATACTGATTTGAAACTAAGAAATAAAAATATAAATTAAAACCAGAAGCAAAACAAAAATCTGTGCAACAAAAAAGTGAAAGAAATCGAGTGAGATTAAAGAAGACTGAGACTCCCACTGGACATTGAATGCAACAACAACAATAACAACAGTAGCAGCAAACAAGCAAAGAGAGAGACAGAGAGAGAGAGATAATTACCCTGGTATCCCCAGGTAATACACCCGAGAGCACTTCCAAAATTCGGAATACGGAGAAGGATTAGGAGCCATGGTCGTCGCTTAATTACGCAATTAAATTATATATATTTTGTGCCATTGACATTGCCATTGACATTGCCGTTGGACGTGGCATGGATCTGGAGCCAAAGCTGAACGAGTTGAACGAACCCTGTGCCACCCGTCCAGCTGTGTGCTAGGAGGAATCAAACGCAAAACTCCGTCTCCCAATCCCAACGGGAGACAAAATTCATTAATTTCTGGTAAGTACTCGTATTTATGTTGCTTATGGAGGGGGCCAGGCCCCTCTGTCCTTTTATGTGCCATTTTTGTGTACAGTGCAGCCTCACGAGGTGGGCACACATATTAACGTTTAAACTTTAAAATCAAGGGTTTTTACTGCTTGCTAATGATGTGGCCATTGGGAGAGTACACCTAAGCTGCATATACTCGTATTCTTATTGACATCATCGTATAATTAAATTTAATTAAATTAATCCAACAGCAGGAGGCTGTTGGAAAGAGGAAGGGGAAGCGCAAGTTCCTTGGTATATAAAATATTTAAGATCGTAATGGCATGAGTGTTCAGATGAAAGTTCGAAGTAGATACAGTCACACTGCTATCATTTATGGGTCTTATACGAGCAGTACCAAAAATGTATTAAATGAAACACTAGATGATAGATCCAAACAATAATTTTTGATTCTGGAATCATTGTGATGCCATTAACCTTTGAATGTTCTCAGTATGGCACTTTCATGCCATTCCAGATGCGAGTATTCCCCTGTGGCTGCTTGCCACAGGTCGTGGCTAGGCCATGGAAATTCCATTCTTTTCGTTATTCCCTCCTGTGCCACACAGAAAAACACAGTTCAATAAATACGATCAAAAGGGGAGCCTTTGGCGTAGATGTAGGCCACTTTGTGGGCCTCTTTGAGTTAATCGCAAAAGGGTTCCGTTTTCCGAGTTTCCCCAAGTTTTCCGAGTTGACATTCAACGTGTAGTAGGGGGAATTTGGATGCACTGAGGCTGCAAATATTTTCCCTCTGCGTTTTTTTTTTGTACGCAACTTTTGCCTGCAACAAAAGTCGTTTGTTGCACTTCTTTTGCGGCGCCCCCACTGCCACCACTGTGGCATATTGGTCATAAAAGTTTCATTGACTTTTGCACTAGAGTTGACTTCAATGGGGCTTTTTATTGCGGCAGCACTAGCTCTTGGCCATGGCCTAAGAGGGGACATGGACCCACGTCTCAACCGGGGGTTCTCTGGTTCTCCCCTCCTTTAAGCCACAGCCATGGAATAATTATCAATTTGTACTATTTAAATGGTTTGTCTTCTGGTTTTTTATGCGCCTGTTCTACTGTTCTTCTGGCCATAAAATCAATGCCAAGAGACAACATTGTGGAGGCACTCTAACGAGGCTCCCTACCCCACAAACACTTGCCACCAGCACTGCCTCCTAATCCTTCAGAGAGAGCAAAAAAGGCACAAAATTAATCAACAATTTCCGCCATAAAAAATGCGCGACAAATTAACAAGGGATTGGGAATTGGAGAAGCCAAGAGGAGTGGCAGTAGGAGGAGTTGCAAGTCGTATCTCATTTCCACTTCATCAGCATTAAATGAGAAACAAGTGCAGACCCTACAGATACAGATACATATGATGCAGATGCAGATACTGATTCCCACCATAGGGATACCCTCGAAGCAGTTAGAGAGCGAGGGAAATTATACGCCTCTTCGCTTATATAGTTACTGCCAGATAATTTTATATTTCTTTTTTATTATCCTCTAATTTATCCGATCGTTACGGTTGCTCAGTATTTTTTTGTGGATTGAAGAATATAAATTTACTAAAATATTTTGGAAATATTAGCCATAGTTCTAAGATATAGCAAATGTGTTTTAAAATAAAATAAAGTAAACTTTTTACCAAGAAAAAGAAAATATTTTCTGATATAAGAAAAATGACGATTGATGGGTATCAAAAGTGCCAACATCTATGTCGTTTTATTTTGTTGTTTTCCGGCAACGGAGTTGAAGAATTAAATGAGAATTAAGATGAGGATTGCAATGGATATAGCGGCATTGAGGGATTGTCAGTGTTTTGTTTAATGAAATTATCAGCAATATATAACGAATGGAGTCGCACATCAAGTGCGGCAATGCATGGGGCAAGTGAGAGGAGAGAGTGTGAAGAGTGCCGAGTGTGGAGAGCGGCCTCGTCATTGTAATGACTTCATTTCAAATGCAAAACGCTGATGAGAATCTAAATGCCAATGATAATGGCTGATGCAGTCCGTTGACAGACCAAAGAGTCTCTCTCTCTGTCTGTGTGTGTGTGTTAATTAAAAGCAATTTGCCACATGCAACAGAATGATGCAAGTGCAACAGTAGCAGGCAGACAGAGAAGCGGTTTTGGTGGCAGGCTGCAGGATGTATCGCATTTTGCGACTTAGATATTAATGGCTGCAAAGATGAGTGAGAACATTGGTGTCCTAGAGTCTCCCAGAGAATCCTTGAGAATAAGCAAAGAAATCTAAGAAACTTTCATGAGAAGAAGGTCTCGCATGAGGTATAAATATAAATATTATTATATATATATATATAGAAATTTGTAGGAATTATATTTAATCTAAATAATCTAATCTAAATAAATATATTCATTGAAAAAATGAAATATATTTAAATAAATTATTTTTATATTATTGTTACCAAATGCTATAAATATTATTTTATTTTTATTATTTTTTATTTGATTTTTAAGGTTTTTTTTCTCTGGGTGGTAATGTCTGTACATTTATGATCTCCATTATGTTTCACAATTTTGAATACAGTTACATATGTTTGTACGTATGTATGTACATATGTTACTCCACCCAAACAAGATCTGGGAATGTGATTAATATTTCTTTTTTAAATGCATTTCAATTATACTCTTCATTGTAGATCATTTTTGCAAAGTTTTGTTTTTTTTTTTGGTGCGTTTGCTTTGTGTGTTTCTGCAATCTTTTTTACATTAAGTTTCCTTCCTGTTGGCTTGGTTCCTTCCCCGGTACATTAAATATTCTATAAATTAATTTAAAGCTGAGGTGAAAGATTCTCCCAAGGGAAAAATTAAATCGTATGGTTCCCATAGGTTTCCTTTTATCGTATGTGCATATATCCCCCCTACACCCCCTGCACACACCCACAGACACACACACACGGCCAAGAAAATAATCCCCCGAGAGAACAGAACAGAAGAGAAGAGAACACAGAACGCATCCTAACGGACGCGAAATTAAACTTTATAATGATGTCAACGTGGAGGTACAGTCCTACGGTGCAACAGTTTTGCCAAGTCCGGGAGGTACTTGTAAATTTCAATTGGACCACTCCCCAAAATATCAATCAGGGAGGTAGGTGCGATTTCGATTTGTGGGCAAAAAGGCTCTAATGCCCCGTCGGAAAATAAAGCAGCAGAGTTGCCTCATCAGAGCCCGTTACGGGCACACGAGGCACACGAAACGGAATCATGAATTTCTAATTGAAACCGAATGCCACAAAAAAAAAAAAACAACAACAACAAATAAAAAAAAAGGATCCATAAAACGAAACGCAACGAAAAATGCGAAATGCCAATGGCAATGGGCTTGAGGATGCATGCCCCCAGGATTGGTGGGGGGGAAGGTGCGGCGGTGGCGGTATAGCTGCAGGAATGCGTGCAACGGGCGCAACGAATGACATTTTGTGGCAAGAAGACAAGAAGCAGGGGAAACGGTAAGCGGGAAAAAGGGTAAGGTAAGGGCTGCAGCAGAAGCAGAAACAGCCAACAACGAAAACGAGACGTCACTTCAGCACACGGGCCACATCCCAGACACGGACGCCGACGCGGACATGGACACGGCCACGGACAGGAGACAGGGACAGGTATAGAGGAAACAGACAGCAACAGACAGACTGAGGCAGAGGCAAAGGCACAGAGAGAGAAGGAGATGGCAATGGCAATGGCAATGGCAACGGCAACGCTCGCCTGGCACTTGACGTATGCCAAAAGCATTTAAGCTCCGCTCCACGCATGCGCAGCGCTTCGAAGGCATTTTTTATCCGTTCGTTTCTCATTTCTTTGTTGTTGTTGTTGTTATTGTTGCTGTAGCTGCATCTTCGTCTTTTGCCTTGAGAGTATTTTGAAAAAGTACCGTTTAGGCTTAAGCCTCGTTCTCGTTCCCGTTCTCGTTTCCCGATGATTTCACGATACCCTTTACTGTAGGGAAAGTATTTTTGAATCTCCTCTAAGCTTGCACGCACATGAGACGAGGAGGAGGAGGAGGCTTACTGGAGCGCGCTGCTCACAGTCTCGTTCTGTGTATGAGTTTCGAGAGAGCGCTCTCTCCATCTCTCTTCTTGGAGGTTCGTTCGCTTGGTGCGCTCCGTCATTAGCTTCTTTCGATGTGGTAGGGCATTCGTTACTTCGTCGTGTTCTCCTGTAAGTTGTTTCTTCTTTTTGTTGTTGTTGTTTCTCTTATATTTCTCTTCGATTTCGCTGCTTCTTTTTTCATCGCTTCTTCTTGGTTCTTTTTTGTTGTGGTTGCTCGGCTGTGGGCTACCAACCGTTTTATTTATGCGCATTTTATACGCAGCATTTTGTGCGAATGAAGTGATGAGGGGTGGTGGGGCGGGTGGGACCAGGGACAAGGATGAGGGTTTTGAAAAGAAGTCTTCTGCTGCTGCTGTTTGGGCCTCTGCTGTAAATGGCAGTGAAATTTGGCCCACGTACCCCGTACTGGTACTGATAGTCATTCGAACCTTTTTTCATACACTGAAAATAATTAACAAGAAACAAGCTTAAATATTTGGAGCAGGGAGAGGCGCGACACCACGTACACTTTTTTAAGGGGCATACAAAAAAGGGAAATTTATTGTTAGCTTATTTTTGTGGAATAATTTTACAAATCCTTCCAAATTAAATCGAAATGTTAGAGACCAAAGAGGCTGAAAAGAGCTATTTAATGAAAGAAAAAGATATATATATAAATATGTACATGTTGAATGATTATAGAATTATAATATGATGCCAATAAAATAGTCCTACAGGCAATCAATAGCCTAGTAAACCGAGGAACAACAGCAGCATCGGTTCAGAAAAGTCTTTTCCCTATAATTCGTGTACCAAATTCTTCCATTTCCAAATTATACATATATAAAATATTCCCAATCCTCTTGTGCATAGTGAAATGCAGTTGACTTTTTTCGCTCAGTGCATACATCTGATGCTTTACC